TTACAAAAACATGATGAACCCAACAAGTGCCGATACATCGGGTATGGTGACCCTGGAGCCTAGCTGGTCCAACTGCCCATCTGGACATAAATCATCTTCTGAGGCTTCCCGTTCAGCAGCCTTGCAAACCCTTTTTTCTGTATCTAGTTCCCCCTCCTCTATAATCCCTACCCTTGTCCCCCCTCCACCGACCCATCTATCCCCACTCAACACAGTCCTCACTTCTCTATATGACTAGCCCCCCAGTCCAACCACTTCTATACATGTGCACCCCGCAAGCCGACCCTCTACTTTGCCAGCGGCGCCCACAGGGCTCATTCATCATCGCCGCACAGAATTGAACGTCTGGTTCATTGGTGTTTTTCTCATAAATAAAGTTTATTGTAAAACAAAAGACACAAAATAGTGTCACATTGTTGTATGTGATGCATTTCTGGTACTGCCGATTACATCTTGAATGACTGATATGGTGCCAATGTTGGGATGCGTCATTCCTAAATAAAGATTTTTTTTCTTTTAAACACGCATGTTTACAGGTCATAGCTGATAACAGTTGTAGAAAAACTGTGATATGAAAAATGGTGATTTACTTTGAAATAATGTTCAACCTCATGCCGGGGGGGTGCTTCTGGTCTCCCCACCACTGCCACTCTCCTTTTCTGGTACCCCAACAACAAAAAGACTTATCCGCTGGTCTCCCCTGTGACGGACCGCAGTACTCAGGATGAGTATGTCCATCGCTGTATTCTTACTTGCTCAGGAGATATTGCAACCCGCTCATCTATAACTCCCAGTTTCCCCAGTCACTAGCCGGAACCGAGTGTAGGGTGAAACAAACTCTGATTTATTGAGCAACTGTGCAACCTTTTATACACAAAGAGATCAGATAAAATTATAATCCCATCACATCCACCCTGCCCCCGCCCTTCCCTAGACATTCTGACTGCACAACCCAGCAGGGGTCCAGCTGCCCCAGACAGCCATAGCAGGAGTGTGGCCAGACGCAGGAGAATGTCATTGCCTTGAGCTCCTTAGAGTACAAAGGGCGCTAATGAGGGGAGTGGTGCTGACAGTCTTTTGATAAACGGGTTACACAGTATAACATAAATATAACCCAACACCAATACACATATAACCCATAAACTGATGACCATGTTGTCACATCCCCATCATGGGTCTCTATTCTTTCCTGGTCTCCCCATCATGGACCCCTCTGATTTCTTGGTCTGCCCATGCTGGATCCATGGCCCCTCTCATCACAGGTTTCTCTCCTGGTCTGCTTAGCAGGCACCCCTCCTCTCAGGTCTCTCCATCATGGACTCATCTTAAGGTCTCCTGTCATTGACCACTTTTAATCCCC